AGTCACCAAACTTTCTTTCTTCTTAGGGATCTCGGGAGCAGCTTGCTATTGCAGAGTTTGCAAGATCGCTTCTTGTCATTCCTAACACACTGGCAGTGAACGCTGCCCAAGACTCCACAGATCTGGTTGCAAAGTTAAGGGCTTTTCATAATGAGGCTCAAGTTAACCCAGAGCGTAAAAATCTAAAATGGTAAGCATATGGTTTTCTTGTCTTTTTTCATTGTCATCTACTTATCATACCATGATAAAGCATACCTTTTTTTTTTCCCGCACCGGGGACTGAACTTGGGACCTTGTGCTTGTGAGGCAGGCAGGGGCAACACTGAGCTAAATCCCTGGCCCAAAACATACCTTTTTTTTCAACCCTCCCCCTTTTTTTGGAGGGTACCAGGGATCAAACTCGGGTCCTTGAGCTTGCGCAGTAGGCAGGGAAACCACTGAGCTAAATCCCTGGCCCTAAAATCCCTTTCTATACCTTTGGAAACTGGCATTTAAAATGATGGTGGTCAGCTATGTCAGCAAATGTCAACACAGACCTGTCAAAAGACTTAGAACATTACAATGGCTTGTTATTGCTCAATCAGTCACAGCTTATCCAAAGAATGGTGACTGCTTAACTGATTCCTACCCTGCTTTCCTCGGTAGAACCATTTATTTGCAGGAAAGTCTAAGATATTTAAGGATGAGCCATATCTATTTTCAGTTAGCCCCCTTAAGAGTCATGCATGGGTTCAACAGGAATTACATCCTAAGGAATATCTCGGTTAGGTGATTTGTTGTGAGAACATCATACCGTGTATTTAAATAAACCAAGACAGCTGTGATGTCAGTGATGACTATATATTAAGTGATCCTTGGAATCAGGTTTCTTTTTGGTTTTGTTTGTTTTTGAGACAGGGTCTCAGTGTAGTTCAGGCCAGCGTTGAACTATGTAGTCCTGGTTGGTTTTGAACTTGTGGTTATTGTACTGCCTCAGCCTCCTGAGTGTTGGGATGACAGGTGTGTGTCACCATGCTGAACATAGAATCAGAGTTTCTTTGCTACCCTCTCAGCCTAATTAACGGTACTCAGTCCTACACTTGTCAATTACAACTGCTGTATCTTTAGTACTTTTTGTAGTACATAATGGTGGTTACATCCATTGTGGGGAGTTGGTACACGCACATAACACATCTTAATTAACTACGCAGTCCTCAACATTTCTTAGGAATAGGGAGAATAGGCTGCTTAATCAACTTGTAAGAGATCATTTACTCAGTTTTTTCCCTTAATTGCAGGATTGGTCTTGATTTGATCAATGGTAAACCAAGAGACAACAAGCAAGCAGGAGTGTTTGAACCAACCATAGTTAAAGTAAAGAGCTTGAAATTTGCAACAGAAGCTGCAATTACCATTCTTCGAATTGATGATCTGATTAAATTACACCCAGAAAGTAAAGATGATAAACGTGGAGGTTATGAAGATGCTGTTCATTCTGGAGCCCTTGATGACTGATGTGATTTCCCTTTTATTTAATTTATAACAAATCTAGATGCAGTGCCTTGTGCCTAGTATTACACATTAAAGTACAACAGGCTGACAGCTTTTTTCTGTGAAGTAGGAGATGGTTTCCTTATTCACTTTGGTCCTCCAGTTTCACATTACAATATTGTACTTCGTTAGTTTAGAAAGAAATGAGATTTAAGTTTAGATTAAGTGTGACTACTGTTAAGAGTGACTACTGCTGTTAAGCAGTTCATCCTCTCTGAACACACATTGCTATTCCCATTCCACCCCCAATGCATAGGGCTGCAACACCACGCCTCCCACCCATTCTCTCCAGTGTGTGTAACAGGGTCACAAGAATCCGACAGCCAGATGCTCCTAGAGGATGACCCAAAGCTATAGCCCCTCCTTCGATGTTGACCTAAGAGGGAAGACAAGATTTTTATTAGATCATTTAGTTTGGGCATAGGTTAAAGACCCAAATTTTTCTCTTTTCTTCCTAATGTTATACCAGTAAACTACCCTTTAAATGGAATTTTCCTCTTAACTGCTTAGGATTAAATTCACACCTTTGTGACATTCATTGCTGACCACCTACCCTTTTTCTTTCATAGCACTTGGGATCAAGTCATGGACCTTGTACATGCTACGGAAGTACTTTACCACTGAGTTACATCCTTAGCCCTTTATTTATTTTGGGGTTTTTTTTGGGGGGTGGGGGTGTACCAGGGATTGAACTCACGACCTTGTGTTTTTGAGGCAGGTGCTGGAATCACTGAGCTAAATCCCAGGCCCAGCCCTTTTTATTTCTGAGGCAGGGTCTAGCACTTACCTATGCTGGGGCCTCAACCACCCAAGTAGCTGGGATAATAGGCAAAGTACCACACCTGAGTGGTTTAAAAATGATTTAAAAAATCTAAATTGCCAGGCCAGGCGTAGTGGCCTATGCCTGTAGTCCCAGCACTCAACAGGCTAAGGCAGGAGGATTGCTGTGAATTCGAGGCCAGGCTAGGCTACATAGCAAGACCCTGGCTCAACCCACTGCCCGACCCCCCAAAATCTAAACTGCCCTATTTCTAAGCTCAAGTTTTGTTTTGTTTTTGCCTTGGGAAACAACGAAGTGAATGGAATCCTAATAGAACTTGTCATAGTTCTTCATCTACTAACCAGTGGTCAACCCTGGAAAATGTCTAATTTGATACTATTTACAACTTTTAAGTTTACATCGTGAGTTAACTGGCACCTTGAGGAGTACTCATAATGTTTACCTTGTCTGGGTTTAATCCAAGTTCTTCAGCTATTGCAACAGAGAGAGCCGCAAAGGCTTCATTGATTTCAAATACATCAACATCCTCCAGAGACCAGCCTGCTTTTGTGACCTAAAGAAAGAATGGCATAGAATTCTGGGTGGGAAGGCTGAAGTTAAACTTTTTTTTTTTTTTGGTTCTTTGAGACAAGGTCTCACTTTGTAGTTCAGGCTGGCCCTGAACTCACTATATATCCCAGGCTGGCTTTGAACTCAGAATGATCCTCCTGCCTCAGCCTCCCAAGTGCTGGGATTACAGGCATGCGCCACCATGCCCAGCCGAAAAACCATTTATTTTTGGTCAAAGAAGAAAAGAAAGCATTATGTTATATGAAAGGATTCCTTTAAAGAACTGCCACCTAAAAAAAAAAAAAAAAAAAGAACTGCCACTTGCTATAGGTTGTTCTAGATGGGCCCGGTGACAAACATTTTCTCAGTGACAGTAATTCCATCCAAAAGATTAAGGATGTGCACTAAAACATCTTTTAAAGGAGAAGTTCTAAACTGTCCTAAAGATTGAATTATTGACATTCAATATTCAACAATATGTGCAGGTCAGGAGATACAGCAGAATTGCATTTGTGAAAAGTGATCCAACTGTTCTTGGTTGCTCTTCATGAAGAACAAAGATGAGAGAAACAGCAAAGGGGAAGTGTGTTTTATCTAAAAAAAAAACCCATAGGAGTAACTGAAAACATGAGTCTGGGAAAGGGTCTGAGGAGAGGTTTTATGAGAATTTAGTAGAGAATTGAGGTTACTGTGCTTTCAGGGTTCCTATTGGTAGAACAAAGTATAAGAGCTAATGTACTCACAGCTTGCTTTATGGCTGGAATTGGTCCTGTTCCCATAAGGGAAGGCTCTACACCAGCTTGTGACCAGGAAACGATCTGTGCTAAAGGTGTAAGTCCACGATTATCAGCTTCTGACTTCTTCATAAGAACCACAGCTGCAGCACCATCATTTATTCCTGTGAAACGTGAGTGACTTGATTTGTACAATGCTCATTAACTTCAGTTAAATTATTCTGACATCTTGGCAAAGTTGCTTGCCGTGATTCAGCTCACTTTGCAATACAGTTAACAAATGCTAAGTGTAGCGTGTAACTGACCACAGAAACCGGAAAAATGACAGCAGTGTGGGAGGGGGGAGATAGGAAAGGAAATGCAATAAGCTCAGGTCTTACAAGGATGTACTAGGAGTATCTAGTATAAGAAAAGTAGCTAACCTCGAGTACCTGAATTTACTTTTTCATTTATATGTCTTGAGATGCCAAGAAACCAGATTGATTCAGTATAGATTAAGTCAGTGATCAAATAGAAATTATAAGATTCTTCTACTAGACATCGTGTTGCTGTGCCTGTACTCTTAGCATTTGGGAGGCTGAGGCAGGAGGAGTGCTATGAGTTCTAGGTTAACCTGGGGTCCATAGTGTGTTCAAGGCCAGCATGAACTAGATAGTGAGACCCCTCTCCACCCACTCAAAGAATCATTTAGTGTACAAAGACATATTGGTAGACCTTACAGAGCACGGCATTTTCTCCCACATGACCTTCAGAAATCGAACCTGAAGCATTAGCTGCAGTGACCGTTCCTGTCCCGTCTGTGATAAAGTAAGGCTTTAGTTTGGACATAGCTTCAAGGTTACTCCCATGACGAGGAAACTCATCTACTTTAACTTCTTTGAGACCTGGAAAGAGTAAAACCAGTTACCTGAGATTACTATAGAGATGTCACTGAGTGTGCTGGGAACGGAGAATTTCTCAGAATCATGAAGATTCACATTAGACAGAAAATATTAGTATCTACCCAAGTTCATTCCAGTAGGAAAGTACAAGAATTATTGTATGTTAAAACATTTTACGAGAACTGTCCTCATGAGACATTTTGAGTGTTTTCTGAATTCATTACCCTTTCTGAGGAAAGCAGTTACAGGGAGTTGTATGTTGAAAAGGTGCAAAGGTTTGGGTTACAGTACTTGTCTGGTTACTAGGGAGTCGATCAGGGAATCTTAATGCCAGCTTCATGTGGGTGGGACACATCAGATAACAATAAGGGAAGCTGACTATAACATTCTATATTAGATAAGGACAAGTGACCCTAAAAAATCCAGCTTATAGAAATACAGATGTGAGATGCATACAGAAGTAACAGGAAGGAACAAAAGTTCACTTCTACAGAGGTTTAGTTTAAAAGCATGTATGGGGAACAGGTCAGCTGTTGCTTCCTAACAGCCACGAGCCAACAGTCCAGTTTCTCATGAAACCTGCTGATGATACACAGCAGCTGTGGACAGTCAGGCTGACGGTTTGCCAGGTTAACCATGTACCACCAAATAGCATCTCCCCTTCCCCTCATTCAGATGTATCAAGCATATAATCTTTGTAACCTGAAAAACCTAAGATAAAATTATAAACATTCCTAGACATTATTCTTTTGGATGTTACTTCTACCTATAAATAGGCTGATTAAAATCACCATTTATATACCTACCTTTTCTAGATGACACAGAAACTGGTACAATCTCTTTGTCAAAATGGCCAGCTTTCTGTGCACTCTCTGTCCTATTTTGAGACAAAACAGCAACCTTGTCTTGAGCTTCTCTACTCACTTGCCATTTTTTGGCCACATTTTCAGCTAGGAAGAAAAAAACCAAAAAACTTCATGAACTGGCTCTTGGAAGTTCAAGCCATTCACCCACATGTATTCCCAGGCTCCCCTTGGGGTTACCGTGCAGTGCTTTGTGTGGCATCCTGCATTCCTCTAAGGAAATTACTTTTAGTGGAAAAGGTTTTGTTTTTATGGTACTAGAGATGCAACTCTAGGGCCTTGGGCATCCAAGGCAAGTGCTCTACCAGTGAGCTACACCCCCAGCCCTTTTTATTTTTTGGGACAGGATCTTACTTCATATCCCAGGCTCACCTCAAACTTGGAATCCTCTTGCCTCAGCTACTGAGTATTAGGGTTACAGGCCACACTACCACATTTGGCTCCCAAGCCCCTTTATTTTTCACCTGTATTTTGAGACAGGGTCTCACCTATTTGCCCAGACTAACCTCAAACTTGAGATCTTTCTGCCTCAGTCTCATGAGTATCCAGAATTATAGCCACCTGATGTATATCCAGCAAGAAAGGTATTTAGAAATAAAGTTAGGACTGCTGTCACTACATCCAAGCCTGTTCAGTAAGAACTCACATACATACTCATACAATTTATAATTCTACATATAGACATATGGTGACAGCCTGAATTCATGTTGATATCCCTGAATGCAATCTCACACAAACCACACTCTTCCTCTTTTCTCTTGTACTCCCTTCTACAAGCAAGAAGTCTGGCTTCCATTATCTTCAAAATAGTCACTCATTTGTTGAAACTTAGAATACATAGTGGTTTCAGACTTTGCTATCCAACACCACTGGAAAAAGCAAACCAAATAACTAGAGCTCAGTATTTTTTTTAAAAAAATGGAGTCTCAGCTGGGCATAGTGGCATGTGCAAATCCCAGTACTCTGGGAGCTGAGTCAGGAGGATTGAAAAATTTGAGCCCAGCCTGGGTTACTTAGTGAGACCTTTTCTCAAAATAAAACAAATCCAAAAAATCTTGCCATCTTGCCCAAGCTGGCCTCAAACTCTTGGGTTTAAGCCTGGGCTGTGGGTATGCCACTGTTATCTTTTAACTTTATCTGCTACCTTCAGTTATCTTTTATTTTTTCTCTTTTCCTTCCTCATCCTATCACTACCCCCCCCCCCCCCCCGCCGTCCCATTTTCCTTTTTTTTTTTTGGTACCAGGGAT